ATCTTTTTTTTTAGATTATCGAAAGCACTCTTGGGAATGCAAAGGTTTTGCAGAATGCAAGACCCAATTCGAGAAATCACGGAAGTCCTGCCCGGTATCGACCATCCGAAGATACTTTCGGAAGATCGATAGGCAGCATTCAGCATACCGGTCAGTTCTCTTCTCTCCTGACTGGAGTTTTTGCCACTGACACAAAGATTTCTGTAGGCAAGGATACGACAGTGTTGTCGCCGCAAAGGTAGTGAAGCTGTATTCCTCTCATCGATGTGTTCCAAGGAATGCGGCGTGCAGAATTGATGTCCTTGCTCCACAACCACAAAAGTAGAGTTCAAGATCTCACTTTAGAATATCAAGGTAGGTGACTTTTTTCTCTTTCCATCTCTGCTGTCAGTCAAGTATCTGTGCCTTGCAATGAATCATCTTAAGCGAGATGATCCCATGCCCTAAGCCAAAAGCTGGCAATCGGCTCAGATGCTGAGCCGTGCTGAGCCGAGATGGGCATCTAAGTGTCTAAGATGCCTACACTAAGTGTGCTAGCAGCTTATGGACATCATGTTAAGTGCCTAGCTATGCCCTAAACCCCTAGCTAAGTACTTAAGCTTAAGCCTTAGGTCCAGGTCCGAAGGTTCGAGATCCCCAAAAAACAAAATTATATTTCACGACTTTGCTTAGATATTTCTAGATTAAGTCAAATCTCTACATTTCAGCTATCTATGTAATGTGCCTAAACATTGAGGTTACGTATGGTATCTTTAAGCCGAAGACTCAAATCTCAATTTTGCAGGGGGAGTTGTTACACATTCTTGACTTTACCCACTGTAATAACCTTTGAAAAGAGGGGAAGAAGAATAAACACAGAAACAATCCAGCGATATAAAAATACTCATAGCTAGAACTATAACGTATGACATCATAGAAAAAATAAACCAACACACCTAACAAATGAAAGCTAAATGAATGAATATGAAGACGTATAAACGAAAAAAATTTATAACCGCTGTGATACATACACAGAGTAAAGGATAAACCAAAAATAAAACATAGACGCGACAAACACAAAATTATACACAGAAAGAACCATAACATATGAGTGACACTATACATGTGCAACCATAATCGGAAATAGACAGAAATCATGAATAACAATAATCTGTATCGCAAATGTATAAACAGAGGAAAACCATATTCGACTATATTAACATAAAAATTCAAGAAAATTACTAAAAAGATTATCAAAGCTATATTTTCAATAAACAATTTTAAAGATGAATGACTTAATATATGTATAGTGAAGGAAAAAATAAAGCATGAAAAGGTAAAACTGATAAAAAAAATGCAGGCCAAAAAAAATATTGAAATTAGGTAGTTGAATGATCGAATTATACTGTAAGGGCTCGGGTGTACCTTAGGTAAGCTCATGGCTTCCTAGGTCTGGTTTTTAGAGTGGACAAAACTACTTTAATAATTCGATAAAGAAAACTTGAAACATAACATATACACAAGAGTATTTATATCTAAACATAACATGTAAACATCTATCAACAATATTCGTAACTAATCTACTTTTTCTAACATTCTTTCCTAACAACGTTATTCCATAATTACAGTTTCTTTCTCTAATATTTGATAAAACATGTCTTTTATTTGATAAAACCTTTTCGAACATTTACAAAACATTACACTTGTTGCTAACTTAACTAAGTCCCTCTCGGACGAACAAGTAGTCGAGAGAGGGACTTATACCTTATACCAAATCTTTGGCGGATGAGCCGGAAACATTTGGCCGGGGGATTTTTCAACGCGCCATATCTGTGGATCCTGCAAACAAATGTCCTTGGGACCAAAGAAAAGAGCTATGCGCCTGCTTAATCTACACACATGTGTGTAGCCTACATCTAATTTGATTCAGAACTCACGGAGCAATCCAATTGTGAAGTTTGCAAAAATCACCAAAATCGGACACAAAGCTGTCCAGCCTGTCAAAAACTCACACCAAACGCGCTGAAATGTTACACAAAAACAATTTTTCAAGTCGGTTTTTAAGAGCTTCCCTGGCGGCAAAGAAGGGATTTGAAAAGATGTGCGTGTGTAGGATGATCAGGCGCAGAGGACTTTTCTTTGGTACAGAGGATATTTGTTTGTAGGCTAAAGAGATATGGAAGATTGAAAAGGTGTCCAGCCAAACTTCTCCGGCTCATACGCCAAAGTTGTGGTATAAGGTATAAGAGGACCCTGGAAAGCCCCGATATACCCTCCTAATGGAAATCCCGAAATTTTCCCCTCCTACCTACACAAATTTCGCCGGTTTTCACAAAAAAAACTCGGATTCCTACCTGTTGACAAAGGACCATTTTTTTTTCGGAGAAAGGTCCCAATATTCCTTCCATCTGCATAAGGACCCTCAAAATCTGTGTTTTTGGGCGTTTCAGAGCAATTAGACATCTTGATTTTTTTTCCGGAAAAACTTGCATATTTTTTTGGGAATTTGGTAGAAGAATCACAAGAGTTGAAGTTGTTGAGAGAGAAATAGACTAGTGAGTAGTATAGCTATGTAGTGTTATGTAGTTGAGTTTTAAAAAAAACGAGTAATTCAATTCCTGGCCAGCCACTGGAGGGACTGTGTTTCCAGTTCCTGGCCAGCCACTGCAGTCGGTCCACTGCTGTAACAGGTAAAAACATCAAAGTGAATCTCTACACATGAGGGAGATCAGGGTCTGAGAATTCAATATCAAGAAGTAGAAAAAGAGCAGTCAAACGTTTCAGAAAAGGGACTAAAGAGACTGGTATTTTTTTGAATTTGGGAGAGATGAAGCGAAACAACTTGAAGAAATAACACAAAATCAAATCTCTAGATAAGGTGGAGAGAAATAAAAACCAAGTTAGATATTACAATTCAAGTATAGCTTATTTTTTTCTAGCTTTAGCGTGTTCAACAGCAAGTTGTTCGAGAATTGCCTTGATGTACTGTTTCTGGCTCATAGCCTTTAACATAGCACGATAAGCTTGAGGAATCCATATGGTGTTAGCCTTGGGTTCAGTAATATTCATTGATGAGGTGGGGGGAAACACATAGTGCATATCTGCTATATCAAGATGCGAGAATATGAGACGATTTGGAAAGTTTTCTTCAAAACTACACGCTCCAGGATTCCCTTTATACATGTAAAGCTGGGTAGATGCATATGAGAGCTTAGATCGAGTGGACGATTTGGTGATCCACTCGTGCTTACCATTCTGGTAAATGTAGAGAGCACAGATCTTACCCAAAAAAAGCATCTAAAACGAATCAAGAGTACATTAAATGATCAGAGTCGGCAGCTTCATATTTGAAACAGGGGATGACATACATTGTTTTTTATAACCACAACAAACTTGTTTACTTCAAGTGGATTGTCTTCTGATACATTGCCACTTGTATAAAGTGTTTGTGTTGCGATGTTGAGAGTTGTTGATGTATTTTTTGCAATCCAATTGAGGTCAAGCTTTACATGAATGTTCCATCGATGTAAGCGATCCAGAGCCTTGTCCATCTGCTCAGAGTTTTTCAGCATGATGGCTACCAATTTACTACATGTCCGAGGGTCCAATTTGGTGGCTCCATTTGCATTGGCGTGATCAGAAGCCACAGGATCCTGGTGGTTGTTTTTTTTCTTTCGTTCATTACCTTTTCCTTTTGCTACGCGAGATATAGTAATTGTGTCTAATATCAACGAAAACTATCAAGATCAAACAAAAAAAATGTTGTGATCAAGCAGAATCAAGCTGTTTCAGCAACTTTCAGGCCATTTCAAATGTTTGGACTCGGTTGAAACTGGTTGAAACAACCTTCTTGCTGACCCATGCCAGACTGTCAGACATCTCGATTTCAATGACCATCAACTGTCATAATATGACATTTTTCCACACCCTTTTACATAAAAATGTGCAAAAAATTGTCTTACCTGAGCTTCGAACTCAATACTATCATGATTGGTATCTATACACAATAACATCGGGTTTCATTGTGACTCGATGATCATTGCTACTCACCTTATGTATGGAAGTGGGTAGCCTGGTGGCCCTGAGAACCCTCTTTCCTACCTAATGTGTAAGAAACCTAATTTTTTTTTCCACACTTTTTGACATATTCCTACATACAAAATAAGGCTCCTGTGTGACTTTTTTTTTCAAATTTTTAGAATTCCTACACAGAACATAAGGACCATTTTTACCCAAAAAGGCCAATTCCTACATACCCAATTAGGCGGGTATATAGGGGCTTTCCAGGGTCCTGGTATAAGTCCCTCTCTCGACTACTCGTTCGTCCGAGAGGGACTTAGTTAAGTTAGCACTTGTTGCAGGTTTTCAAGCGGTTTTGACAAACTCACTCGGCTCGATAAAGGACCGAGGCTGATTTAGTTTTTCAATCGGTTTGAAATTCGACAGGATGTATTGAACCGAACCCAACCCCAGCGGTAAAACCATTTAACCTTTTTGTAAGGTTTGAATGATTAAATCAAGACACAGTTTGTTTTTTTTCTTTAAGAAACAAAAACCTTTGATTTTGGTATGGAAAAAAAGTTTGGGTTTTGATGGAAAGATTTTAATGAATTATGTACTAGCTGGGAATGATTGTGGTACATACATAAGCATGATTGAGTGTTGGGTTTTACAAGAATGGATTTAAATCTTGAGTAGATCTTCCCTTGATTTGATTGTACGATCTGCATAACTAGAATCTAGAGATCAAGAGTACTGTGTAAATCGAAGAGGAGATGGTATTAGTAAAAGTAGTCTACATAGTCTGAGATTTTGTTGATGGAGTGATGGATTGGCAAGGATGAGAGAGTGAGTAAAGCGAGAAAAGTAGAAAAAGATGAAATATGTATTATTTTGTTTTGGATTTGGTGAGTAAACTCTAATCTGAGAAAAAATTAAAATTAATTTACCAAAAACAGAAATCGAATTCCAATCAATTCTCAGTAAAACCATATCAACAACTGATTACCACCAACCAACCCATCAATCACTTTAAACAAACAAACCATTCAGATACCACTTCAAAAACCAAATCACTTCACATCACAATCCATTCAATCAACCTCAAAACCATCCATCCATCAAATCAACTCAATCAACTCAATCAACTCAAATCCATCAACTCAATCAAATCGAATCAATCGAATCAATCAAATCAAATTCTCAAATCAAATCATAAATCAATCAGACTAGATTCTCAAAAAAGAACATTCAAACATATCCAAACAAGAACAAACAAGGGGGAGAAGTGAGAATCAAAAATGGGAGCTTGTTTCTCATCTACCGGTCATCCTTCACATCTCGATGGTAATTCGGCTGCCAATCGTGATAGGTAAAAACTCTCTTGACTTCATCTTACCAAAAATTATATACAATCATCTGATACTATTCTTGCGTGATTTCCGATTTCGATTTCGATTAGATCTTATGCTATTGATAGACAGATAGAAGAAGATGCGAAAAAGTTTAAAAGGGAATGTAAAATTCTTTTATTAGGTTGGTGTTTTTCTTATCATATCTTATCAATCAAAATCAAGAATAGACTAAGAAGCAAGATCAAGTTCAAAAACACATTATAAAATCATCAACAATACTACTTCAAAGTCGATTCTGATCAAGACCAATAAACATTCAATTCGATTCCGAAACAACAAACAAACTGACCGAACCTCAATGATTCTCTTTCCATTTGGTTTTTATAGGATCAGGCGAATCAGGAAAATCAACAATAGTCAAACAAATGAAAATCATTCATCAAAACGGATACACACGAGACGAATTACTATTATTCAAAGTAACAATTTACAAAAACTTAATAGATTCAGCACAAGCCGTTGTATTTGCGATGAAGAAGTTTAGATTCGAACCGGTTGAACCGGTGAATCGAGTTTATGCAGATAAGATCTTGGAATACAGATTAGATTTACATGAAGCTTCGGGTTTGAATATGGATGTGGTTAGATCGATCGAATCACTTTGGCATGATCCGATCATTCCGGCTGTTATGGATAGAGGTAGTGAGTTTTATTTAATGGATTCTGCTGGATAGTTGAGTTTACATTCCTTATTTTCCTTTCTTTCCTTGATGATCTACTCTTTCTGAAACTTACTCTTCATTATTATTATTTTCGTTTGTTGGATTTTCTTCGTGTTAGTTTCTTTGATGAGGTTCAAAGGATCGGTCAAGCTGATTATATTCCAAATGAAACGGATGTCTTAATGGCACGTACAAAGACAACAGGTATTTCAGAAACTAAATTCAAATCAGGTCAACTATCAATTCAGTACGTTCAAATCACTTTTATCACATCAAAGCTTTTCAAATCAACTAACTAGAAACTCTCTATCGATTCTCTTTTATAGTATGTTTGATGTAGGTGGACAAAGATCAGAAAGGAAAAAATGGATTCATTGTTTTGAAGCCGTGACATCGATAATCTTTTGTGTAGCACTAAGTGAATACGACCAAGTTCTCTTAGAAGAAAGTGGTCAAGTAAGTCTTTCCTTATTCCCTTCTTTTTCTTTCCCTTCACTGATCTCTTTGTAAATCTCTTTCTAGAATCGAATGGCCGAATCATTAGTCTTATTCGAATCAGTCATTAACTCTCGTTGGTTCTTAAGAACTTCAATCATCTTATTTTTAAATAAGATTGATTTGTTTAAAGCTAAATTACCTAAAGTACCACTCGAACGTTATTTTCCGGAATATACGGGTGGGAATGATGTTAATAAGGCTGCAAAGTATATCTTATGGAGGTTTACTCAGTTGAACAGGGCTAGACTTAGTATTTATCCTCAGTTTGTCCACTTTTTCTTCTGACTCTTTTTTGGTTTGGATTGGATTTGATGGCTGATTTTTTGGTTTTTTTTGCGTAGTTTGACTCAGGCTACTGATACTTCTAATATTCGATTGGTTTTTGCGGCTGTGAAAGAAACAGTTGAGTTTTTGTTTGATTAAAAATCTGATTCAAATCCATTGATCATGAGTGGAATATGATCAAGTTCAATTTTCTTCACATCCTGTAATTCTTGAAACTGATGAATTTTTCCATTCTTTTTTATAATCTTTTTTTTAGATCTTACAGAATGCACTTAGGGATAGTGGAATTCTATAAAAAAAGTCTTTTCTCCGGTTTCTTTGATTACCCTACTTTTTCCTTAATATGATTATCTTTTTTTTTTGGAATTGTTTTACAAGACGTTTTGAATTGAGGTTTTTAAAAGGAAAAATAAACCTTTTTGATTGATTTTTGTGATTAGAACCTCTATCTCCCCTCTCTCCCCTATCTCTCTCCCCTCTCTCTCCCCCATCTCTCTATCTCTCTATCTCTCTATATATATGTAAAATTAAACCAAAGCTCTCTTAGACACTCTTAATATTTTTTCTTTTTTGAGTTATTTATATATCTAATTTTTCTTTTTTTTTTTCTTTTCTTTTTTTGATCACCATACATTTTGTTTATATATCTCATCAAACGCATTTCATTTTTTTTCATTTTTCTTCTTCTTCTTCTTCTTCTTTTCAATCTAACTTTAACTTTCTTCTTCTGAAAACCCTACACTTTTTTTAATTATTTTTAATTTTTTTCCATTTCTTCTTCTTCTTCTTGTTCTTAGACTTTAATTCTACTTTTTTTTTCACACATCACCCTTTTTGTGCATTAATTCTTTTAATTTTACTTTTTCTTCTTTTTGGTTTTGGGAGGGATTTTTTTAAATTCTTTAAAAAACCTCTACTTTTTTGTCTTTGTCTTCTCATCATTCTGATAATTTTATAATTCCAAGAGGTTTCTCTTACATTTTTTTCTTTTATATGTGAATTTGATTGAAATTTGTATCATTAATCTATCCAAATAAACAAGAAATTCACTTTTTTTTTCTCCTCTTCCTTTGGCGTACATATATGGCTCTCTGTGTGTGTGTGTCTGTGTGTGTTTATAGAATCTTTTTTTATTTTGTCTGTTTTCTTTTCTTTTTATCTATTTCTCCATATACATCTGTTTCTGTTTCTGTTTCTGTTTTTTATCATGTTTCTTTTGTTAATAAACTTTTTGGTTTGAATCTGATGAATAATCAAGAAAGAAAGAAAGAAAACATACTTATAAACAAATATGGCTTGAGTTTTTTTTGGTGTGAGGGTGATGGTATGAGGATGATGATCAGTATGGGCATGATGAGTATGAGCATGAGTACTATAGTTTGTGAAAGGAAACTTGAAGGAAGAAAATGGAATAGGTTTTGATTTGTTTGAGAGTTTTTAAGGTGTCAGTAGTGTGTATGTGTGAAAGAAAGAAAGAAAGAAAAAGAGAAAAAGAAGAAAGAGAAAAAGAAAAAGAAGTTATAAAGTTGATCATGATATGGTCCTGGAGATGTTTTGAAAGTTTGATGTAAATCATCATATGTGAATTGTGAGTAGTGAGTAGTGAGTTCTGAATTATGAAGTATTTTGGAAAGATAAGTTTGTTGGTACGTATCTGGTATTTCATGAAACTGGAATTTTGATTTTTTTTAATTTAGGGGTTTAAGAAATATTAGGGTATGTACAAGAAAAACTCAAAGTCTGGTAGATGTACATATTAGTTACTGTATCATGCAGAGACAAAGGTTTGGAAGCAATGGTCAGAATCTAGAAGTGACAGGTTGAGTGCTAACCCAAAAAAGGCAAGTAGAGTGTGATAAATATTTTCAACAAATCTTAGACTTAATCACATTTCTTTTTAGCTTAACACAAGCCCTCTCTGTGCAGTCATGTCCGCGCGCCTCACAGATGGGCTTGCAACTAATCATGGATTCCTGGAGAAATTACAAGGTCTGAAAGTCCAAAAGATATTCTCCCTGTCACAGGCAGAAACTGGTGTACAAAAAGTATTGGAACAGACCACAATACAGGCTGGTGTTGTGAAATGTTCAAGCCATGTTTTTTGCTGCATCAGATGGTTTGTCTATGATCTGAGGCTACAAGGATGTGTAGAAAAAAAATATGAACAATTTTGCCTGCAAGGTAAAGTCGTGTTTATCAGTGAGGAAAGCAGGAAAAATCAGAAAACTACATAAGAGGACTTAACCGGTGGAGTCTCTGTGCCAGGAATCCACGATTAGTTGCAAGCCCCTCTGCAAGGTGCGCGGATGTGGCCGCGCAGAGAGGGCTTGTGTTAAGCTAACATTTCTTTTAACCTAAACCCAATCTATGGTTTTACATACACAGTCATGAAATTTGCATTCATCAAACACCTTGATGTAATCAGAACAACATTGAGAGTGTGATAGATCAAGTTTTGAATGTTCAAATAGCTTCAGATGGTGATGAAAAAATACTTACAACAAGAAAGATGATAGTGAGGAAGATATTGAGGTACAAGACAACTTTTTGATTTCTTTCAGTATCACACATCATCAAACCCTTGATGAGGAATCCCCCAGCAGATCACATATTTGTAACTCAGCTGATTGGGTTGACAGGATAATGGTTGATGTTCCAACCCAATGGAACTCATCATACCTCATACTTCAGAGGGACCTTTTACTGAAACTGAATGAACCCTGCATACAATTTTATAAATGCCAAGCCCTGAAATCTGTGCTGTCTAAGTTGATATGGGAGTATGTTTCAACAGATGTGTGACTTCCTCAAACCACTCTGTGAAGCTACCGATTATATAATCAAGGTTAGTGGTTTAGTGACAAAAAGAAACTACCACTCACTGTCTTTCATGTGCTAACCCCATTGAGATGCTCTGCACCAATTTTGAGTGTTCCCATGGTATGCTATTGCATGTTACAAGGGTTACTTCACTCAATGGCCTTAACAACTTTGGCAAGCCATAATGAAATTTTGTTATCCCTTGTCAAATGTATCTTTGAGATGAATAGCCATCACTGAAACAGATTATAGCCAAACTGTGTTGGGATGGCCACAATCAAAACCTTGCATTTGGTGAATCTAGATCCGAACAGAATTGAACCTTTACAAAAGGAACCCAAGGATTGAGCTCAGCCTCTGACAAAGTGCCTCTGTAGAATGTGAATAAGCACATCAACTCTCAGGTTCACATTGGGACCATCAGAAGCCATGTCCCCATTGTGATGGATTTGGAACTCATATATTTTTGATTAGGATTCAAAGTGAGGTCTTGATTCCAATCTTTCTAGATCACATTTCTGAGGAGCATCAAACTGCTTCATCTCATTGAGAAGACCCACAGAACTACAGGGTTGCTGCAGAATCACCTGGCCACCTTTGGCTGAAAATTGTTGTTGATAACACTCTTGATGTACTCGCAAAAGATGGCTTAATAGAGTAGCATGATGGGGAGATACCCCCGACTGGCAGAGATTACTTTCTAGCTACTGTCTTTTTTGTAAGATTTTTTTGATTCATTGAATTGAAACCTAACTCAAAGATTTGATGTATATTTGATCACTTCTTGAACACATCTCTTCCACCCCATCGTGCCTTATTAAATCACAAAAGTGTGCCTTTGGTGAGGCTCCAAATACAAGATTGTAGCCAGGCAGGTCTTGGTGCACTCAATTAATACATGACCTATATGATGCGTGAAGATGACTAAATGGCAGATCAGCAGCAAAGTAAGACAAACTTTGTCTAACATACACTTCTGAGCAATTTCTTTTGAATTTGGGTCATTGTAGTATGCACTGCAGGCTTTCCGCAATTGTGAAGGGCTGAAGATGACCTTATTACATTTACCAATTCTATTATTACATTGTTGTATTTGTGGTGTGTCATTGCAACTCTCTGCTTGATTGTTTGTTTTTAATATTGATTGTTTAATCAACAGAATATTTGAATTCATTGATGAAGATCAGATGATTCTGCAAAACAAAAAAGGCTTGATTTAGAAACAAAATAAAAAGAAAGACCTCATCTGCATTCCATTCAGCTTTGTTTGGGGATTGTAACCAAGCTGAATGTTTGGCTCTGATTCTCTCTGAATGTAATTTTGAAATGTTGACTTCCTAGATCCCAGTTCATTTTCATTTTAATTTCATAAATATTTCTTTCAATAAAGATTAAATATTTCAAGATTATGGACAAACTAGCAACTTAGCAGTGGGCACCGCTCTAGTGGCTGACACTGCCATGTTATGTATAACACAAACACATCACAATTTCAGAAGTATTACAAAACCCCAATTTCATCCACATATATATACACCAACTTCAGTGGTGGGCGCTGCCCTTGATTACCTCAACTGTTTGTTTGAAACAGAGCAGTCACAAAATTGAGACATGCAGTGAGATGCTTGAATATATTTGGAAGATAGGGGGTTTCATGTAAGAATTGTTTTGCAAATTTTTTTAAAAAACGGAAAAGTTTTTTAAATTTTAGGTGTTTTTTTTTTCTAAAAATATGTGGTCAACAGCATTTGGGACACCTAAAAAGGTGTCCCAATTTTTTAAAATCTATGGTACATTTTGCAACATTGGACAACTTGTTGGACTGTAAAATACCATAAATTTCTTGACTTGAAACCCCCTAATGCAACACTTACAAACTGATGAACAACATGTAGCAAGTTGCCTTGAATCTCAATGTAATTGTTAAGACTGAAAGAAAACCTGTACATGCCAATTAATTAGAACTTCCACCAAAAAACCTGTAAGATTCTTATCATTTAAACATAAACAGGGCATCAAGACTGAGTCCACTGACAGGATCTGGTTGAAATGAAAGATCTCCAGGTGATCTCAAAATGATCAATTCCAGTGGAGAATTAAGCTTTTCACCATATACTAAGACTAGCCTATGGCATACAAATACATTTTGTTTTCCTTGAGACAATATTTTGGTTCATCCAATGATTACATTTCAAGTTTTGAACATGCCCTTCTTCCTCAACCACTATGCCTTTACCAATGTGAGCCTACTAGCATCTGTTGGGCCAGTATATTCCATAAACAAACTTCTACTAGACTCGTGGGGATTAGTATCCACGAGTTTGAGCGGGTAAAGACATGGGCGTAGGAGCTTTACTTGGAATAAACAAGTAAAGACTCCAGTTAGTTGACCTTTAAACGAAGGATTTAGCCCAGGGATTTTGGGTTCATTATTGTCCTTGCAATAATTAAAAATAAGAGCAACTGACGCGCAGTTCTCAATCCTAAATTGATCCTCTTCTTATTCAAAGAAAGGTCAAAGAAGGTGGTGTTAAAGTCTTTTATAAAACCGGGAACTTTACACTCTGACTAATAGAGATTTCCCCGTAGATTAAGAGTTTCTTATATCAGATAAATCCCAAATCTGATATAAGCAGCACTCAAGGACTACTTCCTTATATGTAATTCCACCGTATGGATATTACAAAAACTCCTGATTAGGGAATCCAATCAGACAGAAACAAGGGTTGATGTGCACACAATAAAGTCAACAAGACACAAGGTTGAGGATTCAAGGTTCGTATAATCAAGCTTTTGAAGTTCGTAGATGTTAGACAAAGTTTAAAAGTTCTAGGAAGATGAAGTGAGCAAATTGTAATGTTGTTGAATAATAATGTGATGATTCAAAACTGGTGGGATCTTCAGGGTTTATATAGTCTGAACCCTGGGAATCTTTGGACTACAAGTGCGCACAAATTGTGGTTCTAAGGTTAGGTTAATTACAGTAACACGGTTACTATTGGGTTATGAGTATATTTCACTTGTTACATACATGTTACATCTGTGAAATATATGTAGCTTTGGTTCACATCAAAGTTGTGTACGTACACACTCTTTGATGTAAGTTTTGCACATGTTACATATGCCAAATCATATGTAACTTGACTCTTGAAACTGAGCCTTGAGTTGTAATTGCTGTTTTTAAGGTTTTTTATTATATTTGTTGCCCATTGGTACACTGGTTTAGTACTCAGGGCTGACAACCAACATATCATATCTAACTAACACACGGTGTGGAATGTAATTGACTTAAATGTCCCAAAGCTGATCAAAGGGCATGATCCTTTCCTCTATAAAGTTGCTTTGTGATGATCATTTAAACGGGTGTTGGCAAGAGTGTTGCTTAATCATCTAGAGTAGAAAGGTATTATAGGTTTCAAGATTGAAGTGGCAATCAAAAACATTGCAAACTGATCTAAATACTTCAGGGATCATACAAACCTGCATCATTGTGAATTGTCATTGCTTTCAATGTGTTGTCCAACTGTTTACACAATTCAAGCACTTGATTCTTCAAAGAGTTCAACTCATCTTCCATTGTGGGTATGATCAAAACTTTTCCCTCAAGGCAATCTGCATTGCTTCTCATATTAGAAAGCAATTGGTCTGGAGCACATATGTCAGCATGTTGGCCTGAGTGCAATCTGGGATCTTGAATTCACAAACCGAACTCCTCCAGACGCATGCTCTGGTGGAACAAAGTTGTTGAATTTGTTTCAATTTTTCCTTCCATCTGTTCTGTCAAACCTTTGAGGGCGCAGACTGTAAGAGATGTACAAATCAGAACATAAGTTTGGTTTTTCAGAAACTTATCACGAACTTACTGCGTTTGTCACGGCTTCTTTCTTCTAAAAAATGTCAACTCCAGACTTTTTGGTGCCTTTAGATGTGAGTTTAATATTTGGAGACGGTGAAAAGGGATAGGTGCAATATCCTTCCAATTACAATTATGACAAATGAAAACTAAGGGAAATTGATAGGGACCATTATACCCAGCCAGGTTTAACAGGCACTCTGACCCAGGCCCTGCTGGGCATCTAGTAATGTGAATGAACTGACAGTCCAACAGTAACCACACAATTGCTGGATGACATATGCCTTCATTGCACAGTGTCCACTGAAATCGCGCCGGACGCCCGGTGAGCTCTCTGTCAAGCAGATGTCGGAAGTTTGTGCAGACTTTGTCCCCAAAATCGTGTAATAAGTTATAACTCAGTCTCCCTGTAGCTACGTTCAGCGATCAGCCACGAGTAACTGATTTGGAATAGCCCCAGCCTGAGCTGAACGTCGCTGAGTCGTTGAGATACAGTATTCAGTTGTTGAGATACAGTATTCAGTTGTTGAGATACAGTATGGTTTCCTTTGATGACAAGGGATATCAAAAGAAAACCTTAAAGACATAGCAAAAATCATTTCCTTTTCGATTTCCTAAATTCATGAATGATCGGATATCAGAGTTCTTCAAGTTGTTACCAGATGAGATAAAGAAAATCACTTTGTCATTGTGAACGGCGATTATGAATCAAGCCAATCGTGTCAGATCACCATAAACAACAGAGGTCGAGCTGAGCTTGTATTCTTTGCAGGTGCTCGACGAAGAAGCTGTATCCTGCTGTATCTAGCTGGATATACACTGCAGCTGTACATAAATTTCAGTCTACAGAAGTACGTGATAACTTATAAAAGGCTGCCCCTCGGATCATTCCCTTTCCTCCATCAGCCTCCATCCAACTTTCTCATCGAAACTTTCCCGTTCATCAAAACAAAAGTCGCCGATAGCCTGTTTGCTTGTATGCGGCTGCCACAACGGTTCTCATTCCCATTCATCAACTTGAAGATCACCTTATCTCAAAATTTCCCAAAACTTCGCCAACGGTTCTTGCTCCCGTTGATCATCAAAACAATCGCCTGGTTTGCCAATGTCTTCAAATTTCGACTTTACGGTGCGCGGATTGTAAGTGATTTGTTTATTTATATTTAATGTACATCAAACCTTCTCATTCGGCTCCATCAGGAAAGTCACAACACCTCTCCATCCATTTCCTGCATCCAGTGCGCGTTTCTCTCTACGGTTTGTCCTGCGCTTTTCCAAGTTCCATCTTTCCTTCTGGATTCTGTCTCGATTTCTGATGAATTTTTTTCTCAATTACATGCATCTCAGTCTCAATAGCTCTAGATTCAACTATGTCCATCAAAATCTATGGCAACCTCACTGTCACCGGAAACTGTAACATCACCACTACCCGTACCCGTTCTAGTCGAAGGCGCCACCGAGCAGCAGCTCAAGTCCTTACTGAGCCCAGAAGGAACGCCCGTCGACATAGTCAACCGGCCGCAGCTGATCTTGCGATCGAGGATGTGGCAGACGAAGATTCAGATTTTGAAGATGTAGTAGTCGAAAATAATCCAGTTGAAGATCTTGAAGTTGATGCAGTTGAAGTTGATTTAGGTGAAGCTATGGCAGTTGAAGATGTGCAAATGGAAGATCAGGCTATAGAACATCAAGTTCCGGCGATAGAACCTCTTAGGTTAGAAGCTCCACGCTGTCAACGCGATCAGTCGGCTCCTGTAGCTCAACCAGAAAGAAGACAGCCTCGCTTGCGTCGATCATCCAGAATCGCCCGACGTAACAATCTACGAAGAACACCAATTCACCAGCGAAGACGCCCCCTTCCTTCTGCCTTAGATCGTGACTTCTGGACCAAGATCTGGACCTTACCCGCGTCGCTTCTCCACTACCTCTCGCCTGGATGGCATCCGGTTTGGTGCACCAAAGCTCTTCTTCGACATATACTCTGGCACTTTAGCCCAAACCTCCGCATCCCGTGCCGCACGCTGAAAAGAGAATTGATTGAACTTTTTGAATATCATGTTGGTCACAGATACGGCGCGTACTATGGAATCTAAGAGGTTTGTCATCCTTCATGTTCTCCTATCTTTTCATTGTGGCTGACAAAGTCTTGAACTTCTAGATTGGATCAAAACATCTTATCCAACATATTCCTGTTAAATTTTCATCTCATTTCTGCCTCTTCTTATGATGTCTATAAGTTTTAAACCAACAATGCCCGATTACTTTTTGTACATGTACATATTGCCTCTGAAACAAATCTGTTCACTTCTCATCTCATTTATCTCTCTTCTTATGATGTCTATAGACTAAAGTTATAAATCAACATCGGTTTTTTTCATGTACATATTTCCTCTCCATCAAACTAAATTTCTCTGCAATAAATTTCTCTAAATCAGTTTTATCACTAGGATTATAAATGTATATACATGTGGGCCTTGATTGAATTAGTTTCCTCTGCAATCAGTTGTCGTCTATGACATGTATCATACATCAATTGTCGCACTAAATATAGATGGAGGTGCTTGTGGTACACTTCACTTGATGATGGTGAGAGCTTGATTGTGAACGAGGTCAAATCCTTGGTAGCTGGCCACTTTGTATCATTTGAGTCACGTGTGGCCCATCAAAATCTTCGCCAATCTTCCAGCCATCTTGATCGAGATGAGAAGTTTTGGAAGGGCAGATTCCAAGACTTGTGAATTTACCGCTTGTCTGTCCCAGCAATCCCTCAAAATCACCCAAAAACGGCTCTTGAACTAATCGGGATTCCTCGACATTCCTTCTGCAATATGAAGATACCACACATCTGCTGCTGTGAAGAGCTTGGATGTGCCTCTGAAAGCTTTCAGCTCAACGGAGTCCTCCGCACAGGCAAACTCAGAAACCAGCAAAACGGAGCCTTGCACGAAGCTAAACTGCGAAGGCTTCGCTTAAAACAAGGATCAGAGAACCGATCAACGCCTTTGCAAACCGGCGAAGTCGATACAGCTGGTTACTTGCCTACCCACACTCCTGCGGCTAACTGCGTAAGTATCATGTGTTTCATTATCTTCTAGGTGTTAGATGACTGATTGATGATTTGGTGTACCCCAGTCGCGCCGAAGGTCTCTCAGTACTGGAGACTTGCGATCGAACAATCTGCAGAGCTCATCCAGGGGCCGGACTCAGGAACCTGGACTGCAAAGACGTCGGAGCAGCTCGCAAACTGTGAGAGGGACACACGATTCAATCACACCCAATCATCAGCATCTCTTTACGACTGTCTCGACGGCAGCCTACCAGATACCAGAGGTCTACCTTCAGCGACCGTCGTGTCTCATTGGAATGTTGCAGGTCGCACATGGAAGTATTCTTAAAGGTGTTAAACATAGAACAAGCAGAACTTCGCTCTTCATGAACAAGGCACAAATTGAACAAACAGCAATAGACATCAACTATATCGGTCGTCCTTACTGGGAAAACTTACCTACGAGTCTTCCCACTTTATACACTATGTTACATCTTGATGTCAAGCTCGAGTCGCAGATCGCATGTCCCGAATGTTTTACTCTGCATGGCGCGCCGTTTCAAAAGATTGAAGATACTTACAAGATGAATTGTGATGCGTTGCGATTTTTACGAGACCCTGATGCACAGAGGGGTGATCCAGTCAAACGTCGACTATGCGGCGGAACTCTCTATTCAGGCGCTATTCTAAAGCCGTGCCGCCAATTTTATTATCACTCGCTTAAGAAGTGGCTGGCTAGAATGTTGAGTATTCCGGGGTTTGAAGAGGCTCTAGACGCTCCCTTTCAGCATCAGTACGACGGCTCAACAATGCGTGACATATGGGACGGCAAGATGTGGAGATCTTTTATGCATTCCGGAATACCATTCACTTCGGAAAGTGGTAATCTAGTTTTTGGTTTATTTGTTGATTGGTTCAATCCCCATGGCCGAGGTTCTCGAAGACCCAAATCTCACGGCATAGTTCTCCTCATATGCTTTAATCTACCTCCTGATCAACGATACAAGCAGGAAAACTTATTCCTTTTCGGGATAATTCCTGGCCCCAACGAACCGGCTCTTGAGCAAACAAACGAGATTTTGAAGCCGCTAGTCGCTGAATTCCAAGAGTTTTGGCGGGGGGTTTTCTTCACCTCAACCTCAGATCATCCAGGAGGTCGTGTCATACGTGCAGCAATATGGCCGCTGATAGCGGACCTCCCGGCAATGCGAAAGGTTGCAGGTTTTGCGTCACATACGGCAACCCACTGGTGCGCACACTGCGGAATAACGTTATCAGAGCGAAATATCATTGACCCAGATGAATGGCCGAAACGACACAATCATCAAGAACATGCAGATGAGTGGAGAGATGCAGCAATAGAAAAGGACCAAGAAAAGATTTTCGACAAGTACGGTGTTCGGTACACAGTCCTATCTGAACTTCCGTATTGGCGACCTATCGAATTTGTCACCGTGGACGTCATGCACTGCTTGCTTTTGGGGACAATGAAGGATCATGCCTTTGGATTCCTGGGACTGGGTGAAGCCGGAAAAAAGCTCAAAGCGAAACTTGACAAAGAATCTCATTTAGATATACGGAATCCAATGGTTACTAGATCTGTTCCCTCCAATAACGCCAACGTACGTATCTTTGTTAACTACGCGTATTAGAAGTCTTAACAGATATTAACAGCAGATCACATCTGCCTTCTTCCCGTTCCAGTCTAGAACTTCCAAAGTGGCTTCTTCCGAAACTAGCAACTCCGAGATTCACCAGCAAACTAGCTCAAATTTGGAAGATCTGAGGGACAGTGATGCCATGGATGTAGATGATTTCAGCGAAAACAATTACAGTATCGCGATGGACTGGTCCAGAGGAACAGAGGGTGATGATTCGGCAAGTTTGAATTCTTTTCAATCCAGCTCGAATGTGGAGCAAACAAAGCACACATGGCCATTGGAATCAGTTTCGGAGGAAGGAAGTCCACACGCACGCTCAACTCGTAATTTCCAGAAACAGCCTCTTGTTGAGGAGGTCCAAACAAAACGCGGAAGACCTCGTCGATCCCAAAGTCAAAACAACAACACCAAGAGAGCGAAAATCTATGAAACATCTACGTCTCTTGGGAACACCGACCCTCTCCCGACTTCTGAGGAAACCGATGCACAGGCCTCAAATCAACTTATGTCTCCAGGTATCTCGGATCACATTTCACCACGTGAATCCTCTGAAGAGCCCAATTTACAGCGCCCCAATTTACGCCGCTCCAATCGAATTCGGTCGCAAAGTTTGTCCACGAGAGTAAGCTCTGAGGTGGTAGGATCCCCAGCGAAATTACAAAGAAAGAGAAGTGCAGGTCGGAGTCGAAGCAATACAAACACCACGGTTCGAGGAAATGCCACCGCCTCAAAAGACAAAGGCAAACAAAGAGCCTCAAATGTTGCCTCAAAGGCCTCAAATCCCAAAGACAAAGCCGAAGCCGAAAACCCAAACCCATCACTTACAATGGACGACCTCATTGAAATAAGACGAGCTATTTCAACTGCAAAAACGCCAAGTTGGATGACACGTCCACCGCTCAAGATCGGAATCCCCAAGTCTGGGAATCCCAGTGCGATGGAATGGCTCACCTTTTATACAGTCTATATGGTCCTTGTGACCATTCCTAAGCTCTACTTTTCAAAAGATGCAAAAGACCAGGCTGTATGCGAGAGTTTGATCTACCTGGTCGAAATTACTAATTGTGCGCTTTCTCGGACCTTCAGTCAAGCAGATAAGGAGGATCTCACAAGATTGGTACATAGATATCGTGCACATCTGATGGCGAATTGGAAGGGTAATAGTATCAAGCCAAACTTGCACTTTTTACAGCATCTGGTCGAAGTAACTGACCTCTTCGGCCCTCCCCCGTACACTGGCACAATGGTTGGTGAGCGCGCGATTGGAATTCTTGTTAAAATTCCAAAAAACAATCATACATGTGTGTTTCTCATTTTATTGCAATGAGGAGAAACCCGATACACTGACTCTGATGTTTAATTACTGGTTCCATATTAGATGACATAGACAAAACAATGATGGAGACCTTCACTAGGCGAGGATTATTCAAGGCGGTCTTGAAAGGTTGCCCAACCTTTCTACGCCGAGTTGATGCAAAAATCAGAGAGGAGTTAATCCAGAAACTTGCAGAGGCTCCAACAACAAAATGGACTGCGGAGACAAATCTTGACCGTGATACATATCTGATCTGGCTCAGCTATCTCAACTCAGAGTCAAATCACCGTTATGGTACATTCTCTGACGACAGTAGCGTTTTGGGTGGCAATCCCATTCTTACTAGAGCGGTCCAAACTACTAAGATCCTCAAGATTGAAGGGAAAAACTACACTTCGAATCGGGTGACTAGAGGTTGCGGTAATAGTGCAATCGAATATCACCTGAAAGGCAAGCGTCATTTTGGATACATCCAATATGCATTTCGTGCAAAGCTAGTCCCAACGGTCTTTTTGGTAGTCGACCAATTCACCAAACTGGATGCAAGCGATTCAACACGGGATTGCTTTTCGGCTCACCCGCGGCTGCAGGCTGCGACAGTATACTCGAAGATCGAGTGCTCTGTAGTTGTTGACATACGGAATGTTTCGGGCCACATCATTGTGCTCCCTAATTCACCCGGTCTCCTTGGTATTGCGCAGGAGACTCTAGGAATTGTAGGGCTGCGGAACATCGTAAGTTTTTCCCTCAATCATTTTCTTGTAATTGAGCTGACCATTATGTGACAGAGCTCATTCAATGCAGACACCACATCAGAATGATGACAGTTGCAGAAAAAAATTTGTTTGTCATATATACTACCTGATACTACGGAGAGGTTAAAAAAGCACAGCTATTTGATTTATAAGTACATGAATATGGTTTGGCAAACGAGCTAGTGATGTAGTCACAAGAATGAGGATGTTTATTTTGTTCTCTTGTTCCCTCTGAAAATGCAATTCTTTTAGAAGGCAATACAGAATGGGATTTCCAACTGAGCCGTAAAAGTGGAAAAATTTCATATTGGACAGACCCCAACGCACGCAATCACTCGAGAGTATTTGACAAAAAGCATATACATATTTCATTGCGCCTCTCTGGCTTTTTACACGAGGGACCAGTAGAGTCGAGAATTCAACATGAATGCATGGAGAGGTCAAAACAAAATATCTTTATTAAACAAGAACAAAGTGGAACAGGTCATGAAGTTACTTGGCATCTATTTGGTTTCTGAGTAAATATGAACATTGTTTTGTATTAAACAGGTGATTTATTAAGGGAAGCCCGTATTTTTGATATCAACAAAGTAAGAGCTGGACTGGCTGGTTTTTGAGTTAGGAGATGTTTTTGGGTCTCGCCAAATGCCTCCTTCCACACGGGACAGTAACAGTTCAAAGGAAGATTGCGGGGAGCTTGACCATGAGATACGGCTTGAATTGCTGGAGATCTTCGCATTTCAAGTCTTCAAGCCGCCCACCTAGCCCCGTGTATTGATTTCTGCTGGTTGAAAGATAGCTCATCAAGTAGATGCAAAAGTTCAGCAAATTCGGCGCTCCTCCAAACCATGCCTATGGCGCGGGTTCTTCCAGGTCCGTCGTCCTCGGTATCAGAGCAGCAAGCAGCACTTGGAATTAACTTCAAAGCGGTGGGGAGGAGGTCTCTATCATTGGACTCGACGAACTCCTCTAAAGCATCTTGGCGGTAATGAAAAATCTAACAATCGTTCTCAGTGATTGCGTAGAAGAGGGAAATGAGTTAGAGGTGGCAACTTACTGCAGCTCGCCTCTGGTTCTTCTTTTTGCGATTCCGATATTTTTCATCTTCACCCGTTCTTCCACGAATCCACCTCTCCATGACGGCCCGACTAATTGCATCGGTGCAATATTTAGGATCAGGAGCATATTGAGAGAATGCTCCTTGGGCCATCGCCCATTGCCAGTGCTTCAGTAAGAAGACCAGCATCATCTGGTTCCAGGAAGAGCTCACAGGCGATTCCCAAGCTAGCGTGGCACGTGGTATACCGAAGCGAGAAAGGTCTTCGAGAAAAAACCGTCTGTATGTGAACCAACAGGAAGTTTGACGAGGTAAGAGCTTCATCATTTGATTCGAAGGACTAGGCGGCGGAAGATCGACGGCGAAAACACTCAGATCGGCTAGAATACTTGCCGAAGAGACTTGTGGGAGCAAGTTGAGTTCCGAAGGTTCTGGACTCGCAGGATAGGGGGTGTGAGACCCAAATCTCCCAAGCATGAATTTCAAGTAATCGATGATGGCCTGATATGAGCCCGAGTTGCGCTTAGGTAACCATTTAGCCACTTCTCTATTCTGTGCTTTCAAGGATTTGACACCGGTCCCGTCTGCAAAGTGCATAGGTCGATCAAGAAAATCTTATCCAACACAAACAACGTTCATAAGTAGGATGGGGAGGAGTAGATGCCGTTGAATAGATATGGGAAATCAAACTCACTCTCGGATGCCTGCATCTCGGATGTGCTTTGGTAAATAAAATGATTGATTAATAAAAATTTCTAGACGTCAATAAGGATTTGTAATAAGTAAAGAACCTTCTGAGTCAGACTAAAAATTTGATGAAGCCTACAATATCGTTGAGACACAAAAAGGAGTTTAAGGAGTCTTCGCCAGGAAGCCAAATAATGAAGCTAGTAAGTAATGTGACAGTCGGATCTAATCAAGAGGCCTTCTCCAGGAAGACGAGCAAAGTTGATTGATACCAAAAAGAACTTGATGCATTTTGGGAGTCATCCGGAATATATATCAGCTGAATTACGTCAACAGTCAAATTATCACAGACAACAGATGTAAACTTGAAAGGAAAATGGAGGCTTCACCACTGCCCATCTTCTGAAAGAAAAGTGATCGAGGGAGCGGGGGTCTAGGAATTGGAGCCTTTTGTCAAATGACAGAAAGGAAAGAGCTGTTCCTGGAGGCATGAAACGGACGTTGTAATTACACCTGTCATCAACATCTTGTATGTATACAGCATCAAAGGTGAACTTTGATCTTCCTGGAAGCAACACGTTGGGACAACCTCTGACAACGACTGCCCTCAGAAAGTGCTAGCTTTTGAGTATCTTCGCCATACGACTTTGCTAATTGGTTGATGTATGTTTACATCCTTCATTTCTTTCATTAGCACATTAGACTGAATCTTGCCAACCTTAACTTTTCTATCATCTTCACAATCGTGTGTCTGGTACATAGCACCTGCTCCTCTTCCATATCCGGCGATCGTTCGTCTCCCATCATCTATCGTATTGATCACGTACACTGGCCACTTTCCAAGGATCATCTATCGCAATGTCCGATCAGGGTGAGTCATTTCAAAGTCAGAAACCTATTCATTGAGCCGTGCTAATGTTCAAACATGTCGACTGTTTTTTAGATCACCAAAATCAAAACCCCCACGTAAAGGGATCAAATCAAAGCCGTTCGTCATGCATCTCAATTTTTAACCCTGTTGAACTTGCTCAACGAAACAGTGAACACTTTTCATTTATTTGTTTGACACATGAAAACATCTAGACACCGAGCAGAAACAGTCTGCTATACAGGCTTCGGCGTTGGAAACTCCTCAAGATAACACAGTCCAGACCCGTCCCCTTGCAAGCACGACTTCAACGCAGATAACAGGTCAGCAACTCTTCTTGAGCATCTTGGATACCTGAGATTGATTCTGAAAGTCAATTGTTTATCAGGTCCACACGAATTTGAGGATTCTCCTATCGGTGATACCGCTGTTTATCTGGATGGGAATGCTCTCGGCGATGACCCACAGGAGACACTTTCCGATCTATTTGAAGACCTCGAGCAACTTGTCACTTTGCCTCAAAATACCGGCAAGGCTGGCCCTTCACAGCCGGAGCAGACACCTGACCCTATGTACAACCCCTCACTTGTCACCCCTGGCGCTCCAACTCTCCCCAGCGCACGACATCAAATTGCCAAACTACCTTACCACTTATCCACGGATCATCACTCGGCAATTCTGGTTTTGACGGACCCGTCTAGCTCATCTGATCAAATGGACAACATCTCCTCTCGAAAGCGTCCTCCTTCATTACACGACGATGAGCAAACACAACATAAGCGTTGGCGTCGTCCATTACACTCCACCTTCAACAAACAGTCCCCCGAACCTCGGATCCCACTTCTTCCCTCCGACCCAATTGTTCCTCAAAAACGTCTTCATCTATCACAAGAATGCGAGGAAACGCACCGCAAGCGTTCTCGTACACCATGGTACTACGCGAGTAACCAACAAACATCCCTCATGGGTTCTTCACAACATCCACCTTTCACATTTCATTGTCCATTGACAAGCCAGATTCGACAGCATCAGGACAATAGAATGATGGTTGAACAAGCAGGTAATGAGTGTCGGTTTGATCCCCAAGCTAATGATACAGATACGGATCAATCACGCTTGGAGCAAGGACCATTCCACAACAATCCCACCCATAGCTCATCACCAACAGATTACGCTCGCAAACCTCCCAATCCATCACGTTCCCATTCTCAAGAATCAACGAGCAGGAATCACGGCCCCTCTCCTCCAAGTCAAGACAATCCCGAAGCATTCTCCAGTAATTCTAGCTCCTCTGGTCACCTTCAACTTTCCGAATCTCAAGTCAACAGGCCTCCTTCAGCTACAATTATTCAATCTCATGATTTACAACAGTCGCAGGTGTCTTCAACGCATCAGCAGCCTGCCTTGGTATTAAACCTCGAGGACAAACAAGCATACGAGGATGCTGGATTTCAGCCGCACCTCCCGTTAAACAATCATACCTTTGACGAACCTAGAAATCATAATACTTGGACCAACCATAGCCAAATTAATGTCAATGATCGAGTTCAAGATTACGCTGCGAACCACAATCCTTACTTAACTTATGACAATGATACTAGAGATCACGACTCACACTTACCCCCCCCAATCCACAATTCCATTCGAGATCGACCCCGCTCAGCACCGGAGCATATTCTATCAAGTTCAGCCCCCAGGTATACTAGCAATATCACCAGTCCGCCACGTGCACAATCTCAAGACTCAACAAGACGCAAATTGGATGCACCCTACGCCGATGCCCACATCAATGAGTTTCCCTTCCGACTCAGCTCATCCTCGCACGATGTCCCATTCCATTCAGTACCCATTCCCGTGCATCCTAAAAAAACTCTCAATCCGACGATTACCGAGTCTCAGGAATTCATCAGGAGCAGCCATGCAACTTATTCATCAAATAAAGCCCATGTCGAAACTACCTGCGCTGGCGTTCGTGGCTCTTCTCCGTTACCCAATCCACCCCACGAAAATTCACAGCCAGAGGATTTTGTTTTGCCCTCCGTGACTCCAATCCCCCATCTGTTTCCAGACTCACACCGCACTCATGGACAGCCAAAAACGCAACAACACCTCCGTCAACAATCTCAAGCTCATCCTGTGATGTTGACGTCACCTTCTCAAATGCGACCACCGTCCCGGATGTCTGAAAGTGGGCAATCATCCAGGATGTCCTGCAGTGCAGCACATAATGATCCTCGACACACGACAGTAGTCCCATCTACTTATCCACCCCCACACTACACTCATGGACACCCAGAGACGCTGCGCCACCTCGCTCAACAATCTCGGGCTCGATCACCTTCTCAAATGCGTCCACCGTCCCGGATGTGTGAAAGTGGGCGATCATCCAGGATGTCCGTCAGTCCAGCAAATAATCCACCACTTGATGCTCAACACGCAACAGTAGTCTCATCTACTTATCAACCCCCGCACTACACTCATGGACAACCAGAGACGCAGCGCTATCTCGTTCAACAACCTCAATCTCAAGCTCATCCTGTGATGTTGACGTCACCTTCTCAAATGTGTCCACCGTCCCCGATGTCTGAAAGTGGGCAATCTGCCAGGATGTGCTTCAGTTCAGCAAATGATTTAACACTTGATTCTCGACACACAACAGCAGTCCCATCTACTAATCAAGCCCCACGCTACACTCATGGACAGCCAGAGATGCAGCACTATCTCGTTAAACAACCTCAACCTCAAGCCCATCCTGCGATGTTGACATCACCTTCTCAAACGGGTCCACCCTCCAGGATGTCCACCTCTTCCAGCAATAGTTTGCAAAATCAATCCATCTCACGACGTAATCAACCTAATGCTCAACAGGCACCATCAGCTCCACCTACTTATCAACATCGACCACTTGCGTTATCTTCGAGACATTCCGCGGTCAATACGTGTAAGTTTTCAGTCTCTGCGTCACACGGTTTCTTTTTTATTGATGTGGCGTGATTCAACTTGGTCTTCCGTTAGGTAATCAAGCCCATGACGAACCTCAAAACTATTCTCAGACCAACCACAGTCACATACATTGCAATGATCGAGCTCAAGATTATGATCCAAACTACAATTTCCACTCACCTCGGCCACTCAATGAGAATCTTACTCGAGATCGTCAATCACAATTACCTAATCCAACATTTACACATGCTCAGCAGTCACATGGTACCGTTTATAACTCAGCCTTTCACCATGCTCCCACCACAGCTCCCCAAATCTACAATCCCACTCCTCTACGCGCGACTTTGTGGGATGGGTATGCATTCGACTTCAGAGGAGACCTCATATCAAGTGAACCATCACAGCCCTTCGAACGACCCCAACCTCAACCCCAGCTCTCAGCCTCCGCATCACGTTCTCACATTCACCCAGGGGGAAATCTCAGATCAAGTGGATCATCTCAGCCCTTTGAGCGACCACAACAACAACAACATCATCAACCCCCCTCAGCCTCCACATCACGTTCTCGCATTCACCCAACGGGAAATGTCATATCAAGTGAATCATCTCAGCCCTTTGAACGACCCCAACCCCAGCCTTCAGCCTCCTCAGCACGTTCTCGCGTCCACCCAGCGTCAAGGACTTCTACCTGTCCCACTCGAATTGACCAAAATCAATCAGGTAGTCACTTTCAAAGTGCCCGGCCCCAAGCCTCCAGGTCGTCTGCAGCAGAACATCCGCATCGTAATCCTCGACCTACACAGGAAGCCGCAGACATGCGACAATATTCTACTCCAGTATCGTCCTCTAGATCCCTACGTAAGCTCTCTGTAATATCATCCATATTATCATACTTCTTTACTGACCTTATCGTTTTTCATTACCCCACAGGAACTTTACACACACATGATGCGACAGCATATCTTGACGAGGCGATGGACGAAGACGAACCAATGGCGCAAGGCGAGCCATTGAATCAAGACGAGCCCATTGAAGAAGAAGAGCCCATGGAAGAAGACGAGCCTATGGAGGAAGACGAGGCGTTGGAGGAAGACGAGGCAGTGGAGGTTGAACTAGACGAAGACCAGGACACAGACGAAGCTCAGGACACAGACGAAGACCAGGACACAGACGAATCCGACCTTGAAGGTGTCTTTGATTTGGCTGAAAGTCGCAAGTATCAAAAGCGCAAGTCTGCGCGCCGAGGTCAAAACACTCGTGCAAGGCACAATACTGTCCGCCGTCAGAAGTTTGCAAAAGATCCTTTAGAGTGCGGTCCGTATGAACGACTCACTATTGCAATTCATCATTACAATAATCTGCTCCTTGGCATTGTCCGGAAAGGTAAAGGCCGAAAGGGAAATCGAACGCTTCCCCTGCCACCCTCTGACAAGGAGTATTCCGCTTGGGACAAACGGAAGGCTGACCGTCGACGCCTGATAGACAAAACTACTAACGAAGCTGAGTCTCGCTATCGCCTAAAACATCCACGCGCCCTGCCTGCTCAGCTGGCCAGGGTTTCCGATCACGCTGTCGAGGAAGTTCTCTCGAAAATTCCCCCCGTCAAATTTACCTCAATAGTGGCCCTCAGGAATTCGGGTGTTCATTACTCAACGACTGTTGCCTCTACTTGTGAAGCCGCATTGGCTCTTTCTGGATTTGTACGTTTTACATATGATTGGACTGATTCTATCAAGTCCAAATGGAATGAAGCAGTCTCGGGAATAATTCTCCAAGAGTGGGAGAAATGTTACAGGCGGGGAGACGCTGATGAATATGACGTGGATATTAATCAAGTCACAGGAAAAAATATGAGGCAAGTTCTTGACAGGTGGTTCATCACCAAGGCTCGCGAGTATATTACCCAGTCCTCGCAAGCGGCTGAAAATACAGAAACCCGAGCTCAAAAGCAGAAAGCAGCAATAGAAAAAAAACGCGGAAGGGAATCACAGAAGCGGGTCTGTCATTCTTATCTTGTCATCTCTCCTTTCCTTGAGCAGAGTGATGGAACGTGGATTCGGTATGCTTTCTCTAGCTCTGTAACGTTCGACAAAAAGCTCTGAGAACATTTTTCCCACAACATAAGGCACTTCGTGACATCTTGTCGGAACGATCAGTCCATTCTGAAGACGAAGTGGACTCTGCTGGTAATTTGTATCGCAAAAAGAAGCTTTGGAGGCATCAGGACCTCGACGACTTTCTTCATGAGTTGGACGAGTTGCACATCAAGGAGCAGGAGGGCGATCAGGCCATCACTTCAGCTGCCAAAACTCTGCGCCGTGGGCCTTACGCTAATCTAGACGATTCAGATTACCTTTCACGGCCTCCCAAGGGATTTCCCCAAAGTTTGCTCGACCAGCAGTTTATGAAACATCATGTCTCCAGAGTTGCTGTATTGGCCCTTCAACTTTCTGCAAACAATTATAATTTAATCCCCTTGATTCAGCATGTTAAATGGCTCCAGTCACCAGAAGCCTCTTGACGGAGTGTTCTATTTTACAAATCCAACTTCCTAAATCTTCATTGGAGGAAAAAATCACTTTTTTAATCACTATCTCATTGTCCGATCTCACTTTTTTTAACCACTATCTTGTTGTCCGATCTCACTTTTTTTAACCGCTATCTTGTTGTCCGATCTTATGTAGTTTTCTGTTTTGAAATTATTCTTTCATTATATTTTTACACGCCTTGTGAACTTTTGTTTAGTTCAATCATCTATGTACCAATGACTTGAAAACCCGAAATTTGTCTGGAGTATTACATATGTTATGTAATAGTTTGTGATAGAGGGCCGGCCAGTGGTTGAGGATCAAGAATTTTTACTTTGAAACAAATTTGAAAAACCTGTTTTCAACCTCGGACACAACTCAGCTTCCCTTCGACCTCGAACTCCAACCCCAGAAGGTGTGGAAATAATGGTTGACATTGAAATGTTCATTTTTGATTGGCATCAAAGATTAGTTCTTGGTTAATCTGAAGTTGATTTTAGTGTATATTTTATTTGCATCTTCTATAAAATCGGATTGGAGTCTCACTTTTCTCTTTGCTGTCTTCTTATCTCACCCACTGTTGTACTCAAAAGCCCTTTTTTGAATTTGATTTAAATCCTTTATCGCTCATCAACATCTCACTTTCTATATTTCTCTCTACTATTCTTTGCATTTGCACAGCTAGATAGTTTTTTACTTCATATTCTGATCTGACTACTCTTAAACTATACTCCATCTGGATTTAGCTTACTGTTCAAACAAATGTTTTTGTTCGATAGACATGACATGAAAGGATTTCGCGAAGCGCTCATGGAACGTCTCCGATTTCATATTGTGAGTGTTTAAATATGTATGACACACACGCGGCCTTTGAAAATTATCGAGTTGTAGTCCAAAACATGATCAACTGCCTCACCTTGTTCCAAACTCTCCTTACCTTCTAGACTGCCCATCACAACGGACCGATCGAACGTCACTTTTTAATAAAGAAGCTTTCAGAACACCTGCACCGTTTCGACTTTGTTTATTTCTTACGTGAAATCAAACTGCTAAGATCCTCCAAAGTCAAGCTGCCCGCGGACAATCTGAGAAATATTGTAGCCACGGTTCCTTTCAGATTCACTCTAGGCCATCATTCAATCATCAAAGGAATCAACGTCCTTTCAGTTTGGTCATTGGGAACCCTGTCTCCACCATGGGTGTTCTGTAAGCTCGCATGCCCGTTATCCTGTTTTTTTGTCACTGTCGTGGATCCCCTGTTTCAAGAGCCTTGTGACAAGTACTTATACTGACCTCTCCGACTTTATCTTCATTCCCAACCAACACATCTTACCTTTACTTATCATGAAGATCACGCGAATTCAATCCACTGTTACTTATTTCAAGAAGTCTGCTACCAAGGCCAAAAAGTGGCTTGGTAAGTCAACTCATTACGTTCACACTATTTTTCCAATCAGCATTATTTGCTTATCACATCTCTTTACCTTTATATGTACTATATTTTCACAGCCGTGACGGCTAATCGATTTCACCGATCTCGCCATGGCCTCAGCCCACCTGTCTCCAGTGAACCTTCAGAAAAACCACTTTCCCGCCCTTCCACTCCTCTCTTGACTACCATCCCTGTCCCACCTCCCATTCCACTCATCTACAACAGCGTTGAACTTTCCTCCCTTACGACCACCCCGATGTTTGAACCTTTGGACAACTCCGTCATGCTTGAACCTTTGGACAACTCCGTCAACATCCATACTCTCCCCTCGGTTTCACGCACGTCTCTTACTCGTTCGACTGCTAGCTCTGGGCCGTCCTCCACCACGATCAGTCTGATGGACATAGACACCTTTCCACTTTTGACACCCCCTTTCCTCCGTTCTCACTACGAGACTAACCTTCATGACACCCCCCCTCCCTCAACTCTTACCACGTTTGCTGAAAGTTCCGAAGTTTTGGATGTTGTGACACCAGAGATCGAATCCCCAGCACACAATATCATTGAGGCAGTCAGAGACATCTATCGCCGTTCGCCTACGCCTACCTCTCAAAGGCCATCAGCCCAGCTATACGTGTCCCTGCCGCCTGTGCAGAATCCTGTCACTTACCTTGCCTCTCGAACCGCTCGACCTTACGCCTACATCAACCGCAATATTCTACCACCCTCTCCCCCAGCTTCTCATTCAGCCAAAAAGCGAGCTTTCTCGGTGTCTGCGGAGGATAACTGCAATGGTAAGTATATCTGGGCATCCCTCTTCTCCTGAGTTAGACCAAGTCTTCTAATTTCTCTTCTTTGAAGTTCAACCCTTCAAGCGCAGTAGGTTAGCTGCACTGAACTTTAGAAAACGGGCCATCTCTGAATCGGTGCATTATGAAGACACTGGTACGAATCTTTCCGGATGATAATATTGCCTAATCACACACTAATCGTTTTCTTTCTATAGTACAAGCTTATAAGCGCTACAAGTTGAGTTCACCAGGTCGTCTCTTTTTGGCGAACACTTTTCCAGATCTTTGCTCCACCAGGTATGATTATGGTTGGTCTCTTCATGACGACAAAGTTTATGTTTTTTCGGCATCCTGTCCCACGAATGCTCAAGCCGAAATGGATGTAGATGGCTCGGATGGTAAGTATATCTGGACATCCCTCTTCTCCTGAGTTAGACCAATTCTTCTAATTTCTCTTCTTTGTAGTTCAACCCTTCAAGCGCAGTAGGTTAGCTTCACTGGACTTTAGAAAACGGGCCTTCTCTGAATCGGTGCATCATGAAGACACTGGTACGAATCTTTCCAGATGATGGTATCGCTTATTCACATACTAATCGTTTTCTTTCTATAGTACAAGCTTATAAGCGCTACAAATTGAGTTCACCAGGTCGTCTCTTTTTGGTGAACATTTTTACAGATCTTTGCTCCACCAGGTGTGATTATGGTTGGTCTCTTCATGACAACAAAGTTTATGTTTTTTCGGCATCCTGTCCCACGACTGCTCAAGCCAAAATAAATGTAGATGGCTCAGATCAAGCTTAAATCCACAGTATATTGTTATCTTTTTCTTGTCTACTTCCTAAAATTCAAATCCACGGATAGTCCTCGAGATACATTTCATACATGTTATAAAATGCTACAAGGAGTGTAAATGGCTCAGATCAAGGTTGAATTCAAAGGCTTATTTATTGTTATCTATTTCTATTTTTTTTCTTGTACATAGTTCCTTAAATTTCAATACACGTATAGTTCTCCAGACACCTTTGATACACGTTCTAAAGTTGGATAAACGGATCGTTTTGGGAAACGGGTCAGTAGTTCGAGAGGTTCATGAGCCTCGACTGAAAGGTTGCAGGCTCACGGAAAGACGAGGCCTCTAAACATCGGCCTTTCTTTGGAACTTTGAAAGGATCGATTAACATCAAGTTGAGCTGAGGTCTGCAGCTCCTGTTGAGGAACTCAGGCCTTGTACAGCTGTACCGCCTGGTAGTCCTGAGATGAAGTTTGGGCTCATTTGATCTGCTCAGGGCAGGCGCGTTTTTTCGGAAAACGCACAAATTCGATACACTTGATGCACTTTGAACCTCACCGGGCGTCCGGCGCGATTTCAGTGGACACTGTGTTGGATACAAAAGTTCTGATACCAAAATTTGGCATCAAATTTTACGTTGGTTCATAGTAGTAAACAAACAGTCATAGTTGTACATCCAAATGCATCAAGCTTGATCAACATTTGTGTTATATGCTAGTGAGTGCTTAGCTTGCTTGGCCGTAACTTTTGTTGGTTGAAACATCAGTTTGTTCAGCGGAATCAGTGGAGGTTTTGGACAATTTGTCGATTTTGTTCAATTTTGTTGTTTGCCTTTGACTTGAATGAATTGATGATTCAAGTAGGTGGGTTGCAGGAGATTTTCACGGTTGCAGACATACCTGTATATTCTCTAGTAGACAAAAAGACAGAAACAAATGTAATATCACATAACACACATAAGTGCTCAAAACAAGAAAAATGAAACAATCAAATAAGAAAAAGAAACACAAGGTATGTTATAAGATACAACAACAAGATGGTATCACACCTTGTGCCATATTTAGTCAACTGTTCATGGTTTGTGAGATGGTAACATCTCATAGTGCCATATTTACTCAAGGGTTCATGGATTGTGAGATGGTAGCATCCTCTAGTGGGTGTTGAAAATCATTGTATGCATTCACATGACTCTTTTAAAGCTTGGGGAAAGGATGTGCATGTGGTTGGTATATAGCAAATTGACCCTTGAGAACTCAGTAACACAAACAATGTATCTCTTGCCTCCCATGCTGGACAACAAAATGATTGCTCTGAACATAGATTTGGTCACCAATGCCACAATGATAATGTAGTCATCTTACATAAACTTTCACACCACAGATGTTGTGGCATAAGCTTTTAACTACTACCACTAGAATCAGAGCTTGCACAGGTGTGTGAAGCTCCTGCCACACCTTTACAAGCAGGACAAAACTTCCAATCCTCCTCTGTATCTACGGTGCGGGCCAGTGGGTTGCCCAAGGCTTCCAAGGCCTGATCAGCAGAGAGAATTCCTGTTTCCCTTGTGCCAAAAACTTGGTTGAATGATACAGATGCCATGAATATGGCTGCAACAATGCTGAGGTTCATGATGATATCTAATTGAGCAACCAAGTTTTAGACACAGGAAATTGTTAAGAAGATTTGGTTGAATATCTCAAGACTCACCAGGATGCCAAAGCCACAGAATTTGAAAGATTTTGTGTAGGTTGTGTTTGAATTGAAACTGATAGTATATATGCCAATCAAAAGAGCAAGGCAAGGGAACATCAAGTATGAGCTTGGTTCATGTTTTGAAAACAATGCTACAATTGGCTGATGAAAATAGGTGGGAAACATACCCAAGAAGTGCACAGGTCAAACAACCAACTCAGTAGTATGATTGGATAAGGAACAAATCATCAGCAAATTAGTCAAGCTTTTATATTTGTTGAAGACCACCTGAGTTGCTGTCTGTATGACTCTCCCCAAGCATTGTGTCATAGAGTGCAATGGTGTGCTCCCTTGCAGTGCCCCACCTTATGCAGAGTTGTATCATGTTGGATTTCAACAAGTGAACATTGTCAAGTTTCATCTTGTGGAGAAGCTGATTGCCAGCTTGCTTCACAAGGGTCACTGAATCTTTGGTCTCCACTTGCTTTATATTTTTGTGGTTGTGTTTGACTTTTTTATTGTGATGAAGCTGATTGACAAGTAACAAGTATGCCCTTTCAGACCTGGGCACCATTTTTTTGTTTGCCTTTCATATTGCACTAGCAAATCAGCGGCGGGCTGCCACTTTCAAAGGCTCAAATCACAAAAGGTATGTTGATACCAAGTTATCTGATGCTCTAACAATTAATCATCTATGAATCCATTGATCATCAATCATCAGTTACCTCATCCCTCAATGTCCAGTTTACCATATTGAATTACATGATTGATAATATCAAATAATCAGACTTAGCTCTGATTCTCAGAGTAACCTTAAGATCATCTACTTTCATCGAGATGGAATTAGACATGAAGTCAATGTACTTTCACTGCGAGGTTTTCCATATCTCATCTGTTTATCCCTACTAGGACTTGATAAGATGGAAAAGATGTACCTTGCAAATTCTGGCTAGGAGTACTCCATCTAGGGGAAATCTTAGTAAGACAAAGTCTATTATAGGACCTCAACAAGATTCTTTAGTTCCTATGAGTGTGGAAATCCTTTTATGCCTCAAGGAGTGGTTTTGAATCTTTGGGTCTATGTATTTCTCTCATCAACTTGTCACATTAGAAGATCATATTGTGATTGATGATGATAGTGAAGATTTATAACTTACTTGTTATTATTTACTTTTCTTTTTGTTTCACCACTGTCTTTATAACTGTCTTTCACAATTTTCTACCCTTTTTCCCAAACCTCTCTCAATCTCAACACTGTCTTTACTGTTTTCTGATCATTTTGTTACTGTCTTCACCGGTTTGAAATCAATATTTTTAGTATGAGTCAGAGTGACTGAATAATCCATTAAAGTTAACTACAAAAGTAAAAGTATTCATCTTTTTGAATCACTTCAAAAGCTTTAGGTTGTTGTGGAAGATGCCGGAACATAATTTGAAGGACTGAAAGTATGTAGAGAAACCCGGTCCGACGGGGTTACTCGAGCTGTGGAAGTCTCCATCTGCTCGGACCAAAGTGGATGTTGTGACGTAATTCGGTTCATACCATATGAAATTGATCGAATCCACTTTGACTTTGAGCAGATAACTCTTTTTATCGATTCTTCCTGCGTAGCTTGGTTGAAATTTCAATCCGAGCGATATTTACAAATGTGTATAGTATTATGGTCAACGAGGAAAGAATCAGGATACGTATTGTGAGTGATCAATTCAATTTTATCACATCATTTCTTTTCCTCATAATGACGCTACAATTTTCTTTGGGGGGTGGATTTGAAAAAAGAGTGATTGCATCAAATCGGGATGAATTTTTAGCACGTTCAACTGAAAATGCAAAATGGCATTCATTTGGAAAAGAAAAAGAAAAAGAAGAAAACAATGTGATATCAGGTTTAGATTTAATTGGAGGTGGTACTTGGTTAGGATATACCAAAAGATTAAATCGATTTGGATTTTTAACTAATCTTTCAAACATCACTCCACCAATGCAAAAGAAATCAAAATGGATAAGTAGAGGTAATTTATTAAAAAATTATTTAAATAACACTAACACCCAAACTTTAGAAGAATATCTTCAAGAAATTAAAGATAATAGTGCTTTAGATCTTATGGATGGATATAATTTAGTGATTGGTGAGATTCAAAAGAATGGTGAAGAAGTGATCATGGATTCGTTTTGTAATCGTCAAACTCATCATAATGAGATTCAAATCAATTCAAATTTTTATCAAAAAAGTCGAGTTGAAGAGTACAAGGAGAATGGAATAAGTAATGGCATTAAAAGTGACGAGGAAGAAAATGAATGGATTAAAGTTAAATTGGGAAAAGATTTATTGACTAAAAGAATGATTAAAGAATCAGAGGAATCAAATCAAGAAAAGTTGATTGAGGATTTGTTCGATATCTTGAGGTATGTGAGTTTTAGCGCTCTCGTTAAACATGAAGTTGATAAACTGATTACCTTAATTCCTTATCCTTGAAATCAAGTCAAACGGATCCAAATGATGAAGCTTTACCTAAAAATATCTTGATTCGTCCTCACCATAGACTCAATGAACCATCAGATATCCCTAATCGACAAACTTGGTACGGAACAAAAACTCAAACACTCGTCCTAGTTTCTAGGAACAAAAAGGTCACTTTTATCGAACGTGACGCGTACGCAATTATCGATTCAATGGATCACTTGGGATTGCCAGTTTGGTTAGGGGACGATAGAAAATCTTGGCGAAGATTCGAGTTTGATATAGCATGATAAAAAAATCGAAATTCGGTTTACTTTTCTTGCTCACATATTTTTATATCTCTTATATCTCTCATATCTTTGGTTTGTAGAATATTGTGTAAGTTGTGATTTGTAGCTTTCAGTGCTTGGTTGAATTATTCTGATTTAATATCTCTTCGCAAATATCACCATGTCTAGCGCGGATGATCTCAATTATCATTTGACAAGGTGAAGACGGAGACGATTTTCCATAGGAGATAAGCTCAGGTCGTGATCGAATGATTCAAAGTAAAACCGTATAATGAATCCTTACGATGAGGAATTTAGAACAGTTTGACAGATAGTGTTATTGATGATAGGAAACAGAATTCTCCTACAATAGCCATTCCCTGACTTCAAGGGAGAAACTGGGCCAAGAGGCAGAGATATTGTCTGATATGAGGCCATATATGGAGTGATAGATGTGCTAAATGATGTTGTGCAGAGAAATTGACAAGTGGTATTGCAAAAAGCTTCAATGGACAATTCATGACAAACACCATGTAGATAGGGAGCAGAGTGCTTTTGATGTGATAGCTCGATCATATTTAATATCACTCATCACAAAACCAACCGATGGAGTATATAGACTTGAATTTCCTTTTGAAAAAATAATCAAATGATTTCAACTGTAATCAAAAAAAAAGAAAAACTTTCAAAGAACCATGCATCACTTTTACATCCAAACTTAGAAGAAAAATATACAAAATTTAAATCGAAAACTTTCAAACGATTTCTGCCATATTACATTCAGGATGAATTAATAACATCACATCTTCCACATTTTCATTCTTCTCTTCTTCATCTATCATATCATCTTTCAAACCTTGACCCTTGACTTCTAACAAACATTTTTCCTAAAAAGAAAAAAAAAAGAACAAAATGAATCAGTAAGTTGATCCCTACAACAAAGAAACAAATAGAGTTTTTTGACAAACTTTGGCTAGTCTCCTCAATACTTTGACAATTAATTCTTTTTCCATTTCAAATTCTTCCATATTTGATAAATTAGATTCCATTTCTTCTAAATACCAAGCTATAAGTTCAGATCGTTTCATTCCATCTCCAGTTTCTCTTTCAACTGTATTAAGTTTACTAAGGATCAAAGACATCATACCCATATACTTATCATATGAAACTGTTGGTTTTCTTTTCACTTTTGGTGCTGGTGCGGGTGCGGGTGCGGGTGTGGAGCTTGGATCTGTCATATCTGTGTTTGTAATGGGATCTGTTTCAGCTTGCGCTTCTAGTTCCATATTGGCCATCGCTTCTTCTACTTCTTCTGGTACATTATATTCATCATCATCAAGACCGATATCATCTTTTTCGACATGTATGATGGATTGTCTGAGCAAGTTGTAAGCTTCGCGTACAAATGCAGGGGTAATCTAGTGGATTGAACCAGGAGAATAATACAATCAACATATAGTCTACATTCCAGAGAAATCATGATCTAGACTGAAAGATGATGTAAAACTCACCATTTCCATACCGTGAGCACGTGCAATAGCTTCACTGAGACGAATCATACTTTCTAATTGACGAACAGTGATTCGATAAGAATTCCTTCCCCATCCCTGAGAATCATCTTGTCTCAGATCTCGATACTTTTGTACTAGTAAGGCTGAAGCCTCCGGACTAAGCTGAGAAATATAAGAAGTATTAATTTCCAAGTTCAGTAAGAGAGGCTAAAGAGATCAAACTTACTTTAGGATTAAAAGTTCGACAATAACGAATATACCTCTGCAGAGCATCAGTAGAAAATTCCGGAGTGATAGCAGCATCCCTAAACCGATGTACGTTGACGATGTGACTAGCGATAGCAAAATCCACATCCTCATTACATTCATCCAAAACGACAAAAAACAAATCAAATCGACTCATAATCGGACCACTCATCGCCACATTAGCTCTTAATGACATTTTTTTATTATATCTACCACCCACAGGATTAGCAGCAGCTAAAATTGAAGTTCTAGCATTAAGAGTAGCTTGAATTCCAGCTTTTGCAATCGAAATCGTTTGTTGTTCCATTGCTTCATGAATTGCAACTTGATCTGAAATATCCATTTTATCAAATTCATCAATCGCACAAATTCCATTATCTGCTAACATTAATGCTCCAGCTTCGATTGTAAATTCGCCAGTTTCTTCATCTTTGACTACTGCTGCTGTTAAACCTGCAGCTGATGAGGCTTTTCCACTGGTATAAACTGATCTTGGTAAAAATCCACAAACGTATTTCAAAAATTGAGATTTAGAAGTTGAAGGATCTCCAACGATACATAAATTGATATCTCCTCTTAAATTAATACCTTCATGTGTTGTTTTATGAACTCCTCCCATTAATTGTAATAGAATTCCTTTTTTAACGATTTCGTGACCATAGACTGTAGGTGCAATTGATCTAACTAATCTTGAATAAATGTCTTTTGCATTCACCATTTCTCGAAGTTCTTCTACTTCAGGATCTGTCAAGGCAGTAAGGAATTCTCTTCGGGTCTCTTGATTATCACTCACCACATCTGGGTCCAAAGTCATATGAACATTGGCGACATTGACCTATGGAGATCAATTAAACATGGCATCAGCACGACAGCGTTAACAAAACAGGGGGGAAATCAAAAGATACATACTCTCGAATCTGCTCTTTGAACCATGCATGCCAAAAAAGCTGTCTTATACGTTAAATCCCTTACACCAAGAACCTTCAAACCACTAACACCCATAGTAGCAGGACCACCACCACCCTTCCCACCATTATCACCAGCATGTCTGATCATTTCAGTATTAACACCAGGTAAACCTAATTGAGCCACATCAGGTACAACAATAAAGGTACCAGTAAAAACACATTTATCTCCTGCTTTTGCTTTTTCTACCATCTCTCCACGTAAGATTACATCTAATGATCTTGGCATTGAACCGGTTGGAATCTCATTTGAATTTTCTTGAATTCGAACTCTTTGCCAATCTGAAAAAATGGATTGTTCAATTGAAAGTTTCCAATCTGTTCGATTATTACATTGAATATTTGGACAAATATTTGGCTATAGCAAAAAAATCATCATTAAAAATCAAAAAGTTACAGAATGATTAGTTCGGAATAGATTGATAAGATTAAAAGAAGAAGAAATTGAATACATACTTCTGTATATCTAAATTGTTGTTCAACATCTTTTACAATCGTTTTACATTCTTCACAAAGAAATGTACCAAAGATTAATTCAGGTCTAACTTCACTTGTTCTAGTAACCGTACCACCAATTGACATTAATTTTCCAATCTTTTCAGTTCTTAAATCTCGAATACCAATCACTAATGGTAAATTACTTATAGCTAAATTAAATTGTCGATTAATTAAACCTGTTGAATTTGGTGAATGAGTTTGATTGTTTATATGTAGATAATCTGGATCATATTTTTTTACTAAGGATTGGATTCCTTGTTTGAGAAAGGGAAGGAAACTAGCGATTGAAAATTGATTAGCTTTGGTATGAAGATAAATTGGATTGATGGTTTTCTTTGTGGATTGAGGCTTACCGATAATATTGATCTCTGATAGCATTGGCAAGGGAGATTTCGGTTGATAATAGATGTGAATAATCTACGTATAATGTAGTGGTTCGAAGCCTCATCATAGACTTGACTTGTTCGACATAAGGGTGAATCTTCTTGACCCTCTTCTCAGGTGATTGAGAAGGAGCAGAAGCAGGAGTTTCTTCAGTAATGTCTTCAACAAAGCTGCAAAAATAAGTATCAAACAAATTCCTCATCAGTATCGTTTCGAATGATGTGAAATGATTGTTTTCTAAGAATCGAATTCTTACTCTTCTACAAATTTAACCATCTGTTCTTGAAGTGAAACACCAGTTTGATCCTTAACTCTAGGTATCTCATCTGGATTTCTTTCTAATCTTCTTCTCATTCTTCTTGCAACTCTTCTTTGTTCTACTTCTTCTGCTTCATTTTCATTCATTTCTTCATTTTGATCGTTTGATGGTTGTCTTGATCTAACATCTTGCATTGTTATATCTGATTCTGATGGAAATACATTTTGCTCTGGTTGTGAAGATGGTAAATCTCCAGATGATGCTAGAAATGACATTTGATTTTAGATTGTTTCTTGATCGATTCGCTTGAGGTTTTTGTTATCCGAAGTCTTGATCGATGTTGATTTCTATTTTAATCTGAGTGTATCCTTTATTTCTTTGACTTCTTCGTTGGTTCAAGTTTTAATGTGTAGTTCAACTTCAGAGCTCAGAACCTCAACACCGTGTACGCGCGACGAAATTCAAGTGGCCGGATACAAGCATATCTCAACGCGTGAAGGGGGCTATGCCTATGTCGAGTATGTCACAAAAAATGTTCCAGGGTTTTTGATCATGTGATCTCATATCAGATGACCATATTGACTCAAGCAAGCAGTTGTACTCGCCACAGGGACAATAATGGATCAAGTGGCACCTTTTCAATTCTTTACTCTGCTTAATGCGTGTTCCAAAATTGTGGTTCATGACCAGCATCAGATGATCCAGCTGATCTATCTTGATGTCCCATTTTCAACTGGGATTACTGGCTAGCAAGGGTGCAAAATCCTCAAAAGAAGGTTTACTTGCAATTTTTCTTCAGGTTATCACAGAAGGCTGGTGTTGTGTAATTTGAGACAGCTGATGTTACAATTGTTCCATTAGTCTCTCTGTGCACTCTTCAGATCAAGTGACTTATTCTGTACATGTGTGGATGCTTATAGTTTCATTATGCTCATACAAAGAATTTGTGTCTAGCACAATAAGTCTATTTCATAAACACTCTTACATTATGAGGGATTAGTTCGGAGGGTGTGGCCCTGGGGCTGTGACTTCCTGGCTGGGGTGGTTCTCTGCGTGGCAAGGGAAGGGGAGGGAGGGAAGAAAAAGAAAAATCAGTGTTGTAAGGATGTGATCTTTGCTTGTTTTGGTGATGAAAAAGTTTGGGGATAGTTGTGGCGCAATGAGAAGATCTATCAAAAAAACTGATTTGATGAATCCCAAAGTGGATTCTTCCTTCTAACACTTCCAAGTTTTTTAAGCTGCAACACAAAAAATCCATTCCTTATTTTAATTTGTAACCACTTGATCCCATTTAACTTATCACAAACTGTCTAGCCATTATACTCTTTGTACTTCAGTTCTTCAATTTTCTTTATTTAAGCCTCTGTGAGTTTTGTCAAATTGCTAAAACATAGTTTAATGTAACACCTACATACCTTTGATTCTCTTGTTCATGAAGTGTATCAGATTTGATTTCAAGTTGGTATTAGTCAACTTGAATGGGATTGAAAAGAATTCATCAAAGCTTGAGTTTTACGTTGAAGTTGACTTGTTGTGTTAAAAGTTTTGATGAATTTGTTTGAATGGAAACTACTTGGATTGAGGGTATAGAAGAATTGATTGCAGGAGATGAGAGAGGAACAAATTTGGGGTGAGGTGTGTGCAAATCAGGTTAAATCTGTTGAGCGTGTAAACTTGGAAATTGGTAGCAGGGATTGGGAGTTCAATCAGGTTTTGCCGGCAAACACGGTTTACCTTTAACTTGAATGATTAATTTGAATGGTATCTGTGTTCCTGGCCAGCAAATTTTGTAATTCATTCACAGGGCAGCACACCACTCATGTGTTGCCGGCCTGGTGTTGTCTACATCATTGTCAAATGATAAAAGTTCAGCTAAAATTATCTTGTGGTATCTTGGTATCCATCCCCATTGGTATACATATAAAGATATCACAGACTTGACTTTTATAGAGCTGATATTCATGACAAACTATCTGCATGTCTAACAAGGTTTGGCTTAGGTAAAATTGTGATAGGAATCAAATGCTTAATTTTCTTGAGTCTAACCAGAAAGATGTAACAATGGCAATTGTAGAATTGCATGTAGGATGTGGTTTGATAAATCTTGCATATCAGTTGGTCACATTCACATCAATATCAGAAGCAGGATCAAGCATGAAATCCAACCCATATTTCAGAAGTTTGCAAATGAATGGCTCAGAGGAGCCAGATGTTTTTGCCAATGATATCAAAGGAAACTGAGGTAATTGTGTTTAAATGAGTAAATGGCACCAAGCCACACAGAAATTCAAAGAGCTAGACAAATGATAAGACTGAGCACAAAGCAGCAGGTTAAGCAAACAACAAAGTCATTAGTATGAGAGAGAAAATAAGAGGGGAGAGAAAAACTAGACAAACATGTACACAGTGCAACAGGGATATTAGGCAAAGGATGGATAAAAGTTGTTAACTGAAAAGATAATTTTAAATAAAGGGTGTATAAAGGATGTCAGAGATTGATACAAAATTAGGGTATTCAAACAAGTATGTCACGTCGGGGAAAAACACATATACTTTTGACCTTATTTTCCCCACCAAAAAAAGGTATGCGGAAAAAAGTATGTCCACTTACATACTTGCTTTGAGTACCCTGAATGTGATTGATGTTGAGAGAGAAAAACTACTTGCAGGTTCTTTCCGATGAGAGAAGAATCTGAGTGGAACAAAATGATCTCTATACATAGTGAAAAAAAGATACACAGTTTAAAAAACAATGTATTTCCATAATTAAGCACTACCTCCTAAATCATTCAATGCTTTAACCGACCAGAGTTTCTTTCTTGACAGGTTGATTTTGAACAAGGCTTGAACAGTCAAAAGGTGAGTCAATATTTACGCCGGGTGACCAGAATTCCTTGACAATTGTTTGTGTTCACCCCTTGATGATGTATGAAGTAATAGAAGAATAATCAACACACACGCACACACATAGAAAAAAAGAAATAAAACAATGCAATATCACATATAAACTTAACAAAGTCCCACGCTCGCACAACCTTGCGAGGCGTCGAGCGAGTGACTTACACCAAATGTGTACGCTCCATAAGCTCAGAGATTTGGCTTTTGCAGGGAGCTCACTTCGAGTGCTTATAACTTTTTCCACACCGAGGAACCACATATGGTCCAAAAGAAGAACTTGTGCGCCTGACTCTGGCGCATAAGGTACATATTCTTTTTCCCAAGGAATTTGCTCCCCTCTGCGAAAAAATGTGCTTCAAACATTGGGTCTTAGCAGCAAATTTGGACTCGAGAGAGAGGTTACATGTGTAATCCTCTGTCAAGAGCCAATATTGGATGCACATTTTAGGCAAGAGGGAAGCACTTTCCTCGGGAAAAAAATATGTACATTATGCGGAAGAGGCAGACGCTCAACTTTTTCCTTTGGACTATACCCAAATCCTTGGTGTGGAAAAAGGTATAAGGCCTTGAAGCAAGCTCCCTGCCAAACCCAAATCTCTGAGGTTTTGGAGCGTACACATTTGGCGTAAGTCCCTCGCGAGATGCCTCGCGAGGATGCGCATGTCAGGGTGGCTATAATATCTGTACGAGAAAGGTCTAGCTCTTACTTGTAAAGGTCCTGACAAGGTAATCCGCTGGGTACAGGGATTACTGTTACTCGTAGTACCTAGGTGTACACGAACAACAATTTGATTGTAAGTTTATTATAGTAGATAATAATATTTCTTTCTAGAAGTTCACGGGCCTACTGTGGTTAACAGTATAGGATGGTCAGTCCTTAGACCCGTGTCAATCTCTATGGCTATAAGCTAAGAGTAGCCTGCTATACGAAATAGACAGGGATCTCGTCCAACTTTGCGTTGCGAGAACTGAAATATTGACCAAATAGAAAGTTCGCTCACTCGAGATCTAGTAAGGGAACAGATTCCTAGGCTGATTGTATTGCTGGGATTTAGATAGGGATGTACCGGGTCGAATTCTAGTAATAACTGCGAATTAGAAAGAGGAACAACGATATCAGAATCGGGAAGTTCTACGTATCAGGCTAGAAAAAGAGGATTAAATATGTTTATTATTACTGTAGATAATTTCAGAGAAACGCTGGGGAACTTAAGTTTAAGAAGTGGAACATAGAGAGAAAAGTAAGGATTTTCAAATATATGATGGACTTCGTAAAGATTAAGAACACTGACGGTTACTTGTAAATTATGGTTGGTAAAAATTCGATGCCTCTCCTTCTTGTTAGTAGAAGGAAGGCTCTTTATACCTTTCTCAGTTCTTAGTTCAGCTCTTGGCTAAAAAACTAGGAGCTCTTATTTCCTGCTGTGATCCGTAGGTTATACGTAATATCATACGCCAAGGATTAGGTCATCAGTCTTCTTTGTGAGTACTCTTATATATCTTTTATGTAATCCGTGATTACTTCCTTAGCTAAGGATTTTACGTAAATAGCTACTATCGTTACTTCTAGTATTATTCAGCGGAGTATTGGGGATCTGTTCCTTCCGTGTCTATTGGAATAGTCTTGGCAATCTCTATTCCGTCCGTACTTCGTACGTAATACTTTATTCTTCTATTCGTTATATGAGGAATCTTACTAATATTCTTTAACTAGCTTCTCATTTGTATATAATGTTTTCCTTAGATTCACGTAGTTGGAATCTTCTATCCTTGTTTGTGTCAATTCCAGGACCTTTGAAACTAGGTCATTAAGTTGTGTTCATTATCTTTTTATGTAGTTTTATATTTTGTCATTAGATCTTAGAAACTAGATCATTAAGATGTATTCGTGAAATATTTATTATATTGATTTCTTATATATACATTGCATAAAGAAGGTAGGGACTTCTATGTGTGAAGTTCTTTTGGTGTTTTTTCTCTGGGTATAAACACTCGAGGACTGACAGCGCAAGCGTGGGACTTTGGTCAGTTTATATCACATAAAACACATAAGCGCTCAAGACAGGATGAATGAAACAATCAAATAGGAAAAAGAAACACAAGGTTTGTTATAAGATACAATAACAAGATGGTATCACACCTTGTGCTATATTTACTCAACTGTTCATGGTTTGTGAGATGGTAACATCTCATAGTGCCATATTTACTCAAGGGTTCATGGATTGTGAGATGGTAGCATCCTCTAGTGG